CAGTACCATATACAAAATATGGGTAGAAGATCCTCAAAGAAGCTATACACATCGACTATTGGGATGTGACTCCACTATTGACTGCGAAGCTAAATGTACGCATCTCTCTCCAGAACCCTAATGGTGCCATAAGCTTAGGAACACCCTAGTATTTTTCTGCAACGTAATATGTGGTCTCTCGCCTCTATTCTCCAGTAGGTCATGATACGTAACCCTGCGTGGAGACTCATAAACAACACACGTACACTACCACCTGTAAAGTACCCAAAGGTAATGCGTTGTAAGTGTTTAACCGTACGGCGTAGCTAACTGTGGAGCAGACTAATAATACCTATCCGTAACTAACACAATCACAAAGTTGGAAGGAGTAATGAACCTGTTTTTGAACTTAAATGGGTCTCATCAACTACTTTCAGAATTACAACCCAACTCCGGGCGCTTTCTCATAGACTGCTTAATATCTAGACTGATCATGAATATACAGGACCCTCGTTATCATCCATATATACAGCCAAATGACAAAACACATGGCGTCCTTCCTCTCGCTATTCATTGTTAGATATGCCTTTATGCCCCTGCCACTCATAGTTAAATTGGAAGTTTGCTTGATGCTCAAACTTCCATCAATTTCTCCATGAAGTTTTGTGTCTCATTTTAATTTCTGTTTCAAGTAGACAGGCGGCTCACTAAACCTATGGAAGCACCTATACCATGGTCGTTTACGAAAAGTCCATACTGTCCTGAATTATTGTGAGTTCTTTGTAGTTCATGTTCTACCAACTTAAAAAAGATTGTATACCAAATTGCTTAGCCTTCAGATGTTTTGTTTCCTTACTTACTCGAAGTTGACAATGTCGTCATAGCTCCACCATCAGAAGAGACATAAATCTCTCGAAGCAGGTAGCAGGACGGGAAAAATGTGGGTGATAAAACAGATGAACAACTTTTACGAACGTAGACTCTGGCGCCTGGGATTGTTCTTGTTGAGCTGCAGTAGAGTAGGGAGTGGTCTGGCAATGGCTTTCGGCATAATGAAAACTTTAAGTTAGCTAAACGCGAAAATTAAGGAAGGGTCGCACTCTTTTCCCAATTAATGTTTCGTCCATCTGAAGATTCGTCCTTTTGCAAGTAATCACAGCCCTGACAGTGGATAGAGAGGAGAGATTTAACAGTTGCTTGCTCAGACATGGAATAACATTTCCAACTGTACTGGCCATATCTGACGCATGTCTCGTGATTTATCAACCCTAATTACCATCACATACTACTAGCCTATTTTTTTCCATTTCACTTCCCGTCATTTCTATTCATCTGTTTTTCTTATACTCCCATCCATGATAATCATATCCAATGTAATCAAAAACGAGATGAGTCGCAACGCTGAGGACGTTTCCCACAGTGATTATACAAAGGCAAACTACAAGATTATTAGTTATCATTTTCAAAACACCCCATGGTCTCGAAAGTGGTGGGGGCTAACAGCGGGTGATCACCGGGATAAAGTGAGAGACATCACTAAGAGTACCATTCTACATATTGTACTTCAAGGAAACCATATACTTGTAAATGGGAGGTCTTGGGCTAGGACACAGAACGCTTGCTACAGACTAAAAGAGTAGCCTGACACAAGTGAAAAGTCTTTCTGGAATGGTTTGATAGTAGTGATTTTTTGGCAATAAGAGACAGATGCATCACTAAAGTTCAAAAGGACAGGAGATACTTTTATGTCAAGCTAGCAACCAGAATTCGAGTTAACTGTAAATATCTCTACAGTTTCATGATCAAGAGAAAACCTACCAACCAGGGGATTTGTTCACTTAAGGAGAAAAATGGCGATGATCCAACTTACTTAGAGGTTACAGCAATCTTTGATGCCAACTTCAACGACTGGTTGCATCAGGAACCTATAAGCGCGAAACACTCCTCAACTCTAGTATCAGTTGATGGTTTGGGAAATATCCACATAACTTCCCGGCTTAATTAAAAAAAACTGAAATTCATGCACTCAGAAGAGTCACTAGGATGTGACAAAAATGGGCCCATAATTCTGAAACACTGTATGGGTCCAATCAGCATAGTGGTATGTTGCCTGTTCAGCCACTCACCAGGGTCACATCAACAGACAATAAAACCTGATGTTGATTGACTCTTCAAAGCGTGGTCTCAGGCACATAACCACGAAGAGCTTGGACACCAGCTCAAACTGCTTAGGAATACAGTCAAGGCAAACACAACTCTCCACTCTTTAAAAAGACAGCTTAACAAAATCCTCCCAGAATTAATCTCAACTCCCTTTCTAACGTACGCACGGCCCCACCTGATAGTCTGCGATATCGTCACATCCTCTCTCATCTAGAGACACATAAATCCATTGGAAAATGCGCAAAGACGAGTGACCGAGTGGTTGACTGGATTCAATATAAATCTTACGGAAACATACTCTAGCATCTGGGATTATTTTCACTGAGCTACAGGAGAATAAGATGTAAACTGATAATAGCATACAACACATTGATTACTCCAAATCACCCCAACGTAAAGATAATACCGGAACGTCATCACCACGCTCCCCAAGGCAATCCTCTAAAGACTGCACATCATAGAGCGCACACACAGGTATGCTTTCACATTTTCTCGTTAACTTACTTACTTACTTACGTCTGTTACTTCTAATGGAGTATAGGCCGCCGACCAGCCCTCCCCAACCCACTCTGTCCTGGGCCTTCTTTTCTAGTTCCATCCAATTCTTGTTCATTTTTCTCATGTCTATCTCCATTTCCTGGCGTAATGTGTTCTTTGGTCTTCCTCTTCGCCTTCGGCCTTCAGGACTCCATGTGAGGGCTTGCCTTGTGACGCAGTTGGGTGCTTTCCTCAATGTGTGTCCTATCCACTTCCAGCGCCTCTTCCTGATTTCTTCCTCCACTGGGATCTGATTTGTTCTCTCCCACAGTAGGTTGTTGCTAATAGCGTCCGGCCAACGGATCCGAAGTATTTTGCGTAGACAACTGTTAATAAACACCTGTATCTTCTGGATGATGGCTTTCGTAGTCCTCCAGGTTTCCTACCCATACAGTAGAACTGTCTTGACATTTGTATTGAAAATTCTGAGCTTGATGTTGGTTGCCAATTGTTTTGAGCTCCAGATGTTCTTCAGTTGTAAATATGCTGCTCTTGCTTTGCCGATCCGTGCCTTCACATCTGCATCAGATCCACCGTGTTCATCGACGATGCTGCCCAAATATGTAAAGGTTTGTACATCTTCCAAATCTTCTCCGTCAATTGTGATTGGATTGTTGCATGCTGTGTTGTATCGGAGAATCTTGCTTTTTCCTTTGTGTATATTGAGACCTATTGCTGCTGAGGCTGCTGCTACACTGGTCGTCTTCTTCTGCACTTGTTGTTGCGTGTGCGATAGAAGAGCCAGATCATCTGCGGAATCTAGATCATCCAATTGCATGCCAGATGTCCACTGTATACCGTCTTCATGATCCAGTCGATCACCAGGAGAAAGAGAAAGAGTGAGAGTAAGCAACCTTGCCTGACACCGGTCTTTACTTCGAACGACTTTGTCAACCGTCCTCCATGAACGATTTTGCAGTTTAATCCATCGTAGGAATTCCGTATGATATTGACTATCTTCTGAGGCACACCGTAGTGTCGAAGAAGCTTCCATGGGTTGTTCTGTTCACGCTGTCGAATGCTTTTTCATAGTCAATGAAGTTGATATAGAGCGATGAATTCCATTCGGTTGATTGTTCCACAATGATCCGTAGAGTTGCGATTTGATCTGTACACGATCTATCCTTACGGAATCGTGCCTGTTGGTCGCGAAGTTGTGCGTCTAAGGAGTCCTTCATCCTGTGTTAACAATACCCTGTTGAAGACTTTTCCTGGTATCGAGAGAAGAGTGATTCCCCTGTAGTTGTCACAGTTGCTGAGATCGCCCTTCTTTGGTATTTTGATCAGAAGTCCTTCTATCCAGTCTTTTGATACTTGTTCCTCATCCCAAATCTTATTGAAGAGAATGTGGAGTGTACTTGCAGTTACCGCTACGTCTGCTTTCAGTTCCTCTGCTGGAATGTTGTCTGGTCCTGCTGCTTTGCCACTCTTAATTTGTCTGGTAGCCATGCTGATTTCCTCAATTGTTGGTAGGCCAACATCGATTGGGAGGTCCGTGAGTGCTGCTTCGATGTTGGGTGGGTTTTGTGGGTCTGGTCGATTCAAGAGTTCTTCGAAGTGTTCTACCCACCTGTTTCGTTGTTCTTCAATGTTGGTGGTTATCTCGCCTTCCTTGTTTTTCACTGGTCGTTCTGGTTTACGGTGATTTCTAGAGAGTTTCTTTGTTGTTTCATACAGTTGTCTCATGTTTCCTTCTCTTGCAGCCTTTTCCGCCGTCATTTACGCATTAAGAATTGTTTCGATTGAGAATGCATTTTCAGCCAAAGTAACCACAGCCCCCTTAGTGGGTAGCCATAAGAAGAGACTCAACCGGCTCACGCAATCTCATTGATTACCGTATAACTCTCGTACCAGCTTTAGTTAATGTGTCTATTATAGGATACCACGACCGTCATTACCGCATACCAATAACTACTTCCTGTATCACTTATTATAATCTTTGTTTTCGTCTTATTCCTTAAGTTCCGTCTTCTTACAAATTAGCAATCAAGTAGGTTAATTATTTATGCTAGAAACAATCATCTCAAAGCATTTAAATTTTATGTTTATCGTTTCTTCCATTTCCCCCGATCAATATTCTATCTGGTAATATGTTAGCGTCTGGTATCCATAAACATTATTTCCCTGAGACAAATGCACTTATCTGACTCACAAGATATACAATTTAGCAAACTGACTAGAATCAATGGTTGAGTAACTAGGCTGCTGCACATCAAACATTATCAAATACCTGGAACCGTATTGAAACGTTAAGTAATGAGAACGAAGAAATCCATCGGTTTATACTAGTTTGTTATAAAGGTATTGGATGTTGGAACATTCATAAATAGTTGCGTATTTCGTAGTTAGCGCTACCGTGGTATGTTGTTGGTCATGGATTCCTTAGACAAATAAGGTTAAACAAACTAAGATGTTTGTATATATTCGCACCAACAGATTTTATCGGATCAAAGTTCTTGAAATGAGTAGATTTTACGGTAGTGTTAAAAATTTCAGAACACGGAAACATTTGTTAGTTAAGCGAACACCTGGATACACATGAAAGCCGTTTCTAAAATCGATCTAAATATGATGAAACGGCCGTATTCTTTTATAGGGCTTTCAAAGTTGACAGCTGGTGATCATATATTGAAAGTAACATGCGAGAAGAAAATGTCCGAAGGAGCATTTGTTTGGTCATTGAAAGTAGTAGAAGAGACACTTTTGGTCCTTAGCGTTTACTTAGCATTTACCGACCGAATTACATCGCGATCCGTAACTTTGGGCTCGACTAAAACTAAGTGATTAAGAATAAGAACACGTTTAAATGACCTCGAGTATATTGAACTCAACCGCCAACTGAAAAGAAACATCAAGTGATAAGGGTTGTCGTAGAAATATACTGTTAGCCGTTTAGTAAAACCACTGTGTCTATCCACTAACCAACAGTTAGTTGGCAACAGGAACTGGTATCTTGTTGGGCGATTTCGGTTAGGCTCGCACGTTTTCATCAGAATGGAATTTAAGCTCGAAATCATAAATTTCACAGATATTCAATGAAAATTACCCTTCGTGTTTCTACGTCAATAGCCCAGATGACTTGGTGCAAATGATAAATTTGCAGAGGTCATATTTTTAAGCGAATCCATACACCGTTCGCTGTTTTGTCCACTAATGGTTCTTTCTGTGTATGGTCGTCCGACCATAGAATGAAATAATGGGCTTAATTTCATCTCGGAGTCAGCAAGTAGATCAAGAAAAGGAGATGCCAAGAGAATGTCCTGTTGGGAAAGGTGATGGATGTCCAATGAATCATGGGTACAAGAACCTCAGTCCAGACAATCTTGTGAGTTTCATATTCCCCATGTCTTTAGTATTTTATGAATCTTATTTATATACCAAGTGCCTTTAAAGGACAAGGTTTCATTTGTTGAAATAATTTTTACCGGGGCTCTTCCTGTAAAGTCAGCCCCTTGTTGAAAGCAAGGTTATAAATATTGTTCACTGTCCACTATATCTTCTGGGAATAAATTTGTTTGGAACTGCGTTGAGTCACTGGGTCGGCTAATAGAATATCATTTTCGTCATTCTTCATAGTTCGGTTACTATTACTCCACAAGCCCTTAAACCAAATCATGGTGTTGCTCTCAAGTTTGGCTCCAAAAGCGTCAGATCCATGAAGAGCAACAACTTAGTGTTCAATTTCTGTAGTAATCTTTGTCCATTACGGGTGCACTTTTTATTATTTTATGTTGCATTATGCCTAACTCATCTTTTTTATTTCCGGCTATAAACTTAGCCTATTTTGCTCCAATATAGGGGAGGGTCTTATAAAAGACCATCAATGCTGGAAAATTTTCCACTATCTAAAGTTGGCGAATGCTACTTCCACGATAATGTTTCACACGGTTACTGGAAGATATTTCGAGTGAAGTAGACTACACATTCTATAATGAAGAAGTTAAACGGTGGACTTATTGATTTCTTACGTGGTCTCACGTATAGCACCAAACCATACGTTTCACTAATAAAATACCATTTCTTCTTGATTTTCTTTCGCCTATTTCATTTTTATACTGTTTGCAGATGTTTCAAGTTGCTTCAAAGTGTAGGTACATAATGTATGTTGGCAGACTTCTTTGTCCTTTTCTCAATGTTCTCATATGGCCACTGCCAGGAAAGTCGTACTTCCTTCTCGCGGCGGGGACCTCGTTTACGAAGTCAAGAGGATGAAAAGCAAACACCCGGCTCTAAAACTGGGTTGATGAGTAAGGAGGATCCACCTATAGTAGTTGGAAAACCCTGATTCAGAACCAGTGATATGCATGGCCTTCAGCTACTAAACAACTACCCACCATCCGCAGACAGTGTGAATGGAACATTGAAGTAGGTCCTCCAACTCTAGCTGAAGTTCAAAAGGCAGCTGTTCCAGATGGGTTGGTTCCAGAGGTCTTTAAGGATGGTGGTCCAATTTTACCGACTAGGTTGACCAATATTTTAGCTAAAATCTGGGAGTTGGACGTAATCCCCTCTGATTTTTCGCAATCACTTATCGTCCCAATATTTAAGAAAGGGTCAAAATCATCCTGTGACAACCATCGAGGGATTAGTTTAACTAATGTAGTATCTAAAATACTAGCCTCGATAATTATCGGACGCCCAACTAAGACTCGTGAACTGCAAACACAAGAGAATCTAGGTGGCTTCAGATCTGGTCGTGGATGCATAGACCACATATTCACCATTCTACAGGTTCTAGAACACAGGCATACTTATCGGCGTCCAACAGTGGTAGTCTTCCTTGACTTGAAAGCAGCATTGGACGCTGTAGATTGAGAGGTTCTGTGTCGGTCATTGAAAGAAGTACCTTAGAAGTACATAAACCTTGTGAAGGCACTTCACTCAAACACTACCAGTCGAATCAGAGTTTATGGCGAACTGTCATCTGCTTTTGCAACCTCAAGTGGTGTCCGTCAAGGTTGTCCACTTTCTCCATTTTTGTTTAACTTCATCATAGATCTACTGATGAAAATAACGCTCTCATCGACTGAATTCTCAGGCATTGATCTCCTCTCAGGAAGTCCACTTATCGACTTATAATACGCAGATGACATAGTCCTGTTTGGTGAAGACGCTGATAAAATGCAGTCTTTTGGTAACACTGAGCAACAATGCCAGGATATTTGGGATGCGCTTCTCTCCCTCTAAATGCAAGTTGTTGCTTCAGAACTGGTCTGCGACAACACCTGAACTAAGGATAGGGTGTGAAGTAGTTGAACGTGTCGACAACTTTACTTATCTTGGAAGTCTGTTGAGCCTTAATGAGTTGGTGTCTGACGAAATCCCTGCACGGATCCAAAAAGCCCGTTTGGTTTTTACCACCTTACGTCACCTATGGCGCAGGCGAAATATCCATTTATCAATAAAAAGATGAGTATATTACACGGCAGTTCGTTCCGTTTTACTATACGGCTGCGAAACATGGCCTTTAAGAGTAGAAGATATTCGTAAGTTACTAGTATTTGACCACAGGTGCCTTAGAAATATTGCTGGTATCTGCTGGGATCATCGGGTAAGTAATAATGAGGCTGGACACAGGGTATTAGGGAATGATGGTAAATCATTTGATGAGGTTATGAATCTTCATCGACTGAAATGGTTGGGCCACGTGTTACGTATGCCTAAACACCGATTACCACGACACGCAATGCTAAATGGTGTTAGGGATAATTGGAAGAAAGTTAGGGGCGGCCAAACCAAAACGTGGCATTAGTGCTTGAAGTCACTAACTTCTGATCTGAGCCATGTTGGTAAATGCAGACTGCCTGGTTGGGGTCCGCGTGACTATCGTAACCAATGGTTGGAGACTCTTGGTGACATGGCTCAGAATCGATCACAATGGCGTCGGTGTATACACTCTCTGTCTTCCTTTAAACTAAGAGATTAAAATCACTTCAAATCTTTCTTTCTAGGAACTAATTCTATCTTCTTGTACTATATCCTTATACACACTCTTTCTTCTATATATTACCACCACTGAATTAACTACTTCTATGAACCTGGTGTTCATCTTGTTGTGCTAATGCGGTATGGCAACTTGGACCGATGCATATATGTGCTTGGTCCTACGTTGCAGCTAACTGATGGGTTTTAGGATCCTGAGGGAACAAATGGCGTACGAACCTATTGTTTACCACCGGCTACCATGGGACTCAATTTCCTAACGTTGCTTCACGCCATTTGTTCCCTCAGGATCCTGGAGCCCATGTACACCATTGTTTTTGAATCAGGGTTTTCCAACGCCCCTAGATGGATCCTCCATATCCACCAACCCAGTCAAAGCGTCGAACATTCGCTTTTCGTCCTTTCAATTTCGTAAACAACACCCCCGCCACGCAAAGGCAGTGATTGGGACTTTTTTGGCAGTAGTTGTATGCACGTGGCGATGTGAGAGCATTTTGGGAGGAAGAGTTGACTCTCCCAACTCTCAGCCATGTCAGGGCATTTGGGGACCTTCTTGAATAACTCACAAGTTAGCTAAGTATTTGTTTTCAATTTTGGTTGCCTCAGGTGAGGATATAAAAGACACACAGCAAGAAATGCTCTTCACTTTGTTGAACTGAAATGTATTGTATTGTATCGCCTAATTTAGTTCATAAACTAGCCTACACATCAAACATTTGAGGGAGCTACTATGTAAGAAAAAAAATGAAATTGACCAAGTCACAAATATTAGACGTTTTTTAAGTTAGTGTGTAAAACACTTAAACCAAAGGAACGCATTGATCGTTTATGTTAATCATGAAAAAATTTGATTTGATAAGCGAACTTATGCTTTACGACAAACAACAGTCACACAGATTTTGTATTATGAGTTGTGTGTTATAAATTTGGGTATTTGTTAGATAACCGATGTTGTATGCTATAGGTCAAGATATTTCATAGTTAAAAACCTATCTTTAGAACTTTACTTTTAAGACAACATTTCCACTTATTAGATAATCTTCATTACTGATCATTATCAATGGGTTTAAATATTATATTATTCTTTCCAAACCAATTGGCTGTATTTCAGATGCCACCCCCTAACCAACTCCCAAGTCCTGGACAACCTTTCCCACTGTCCACTGAACGCGAATTGTCTTCCATTCCAAAAGCAGATCGATCTGATGGTGAAAAATGGATATATCCTTCACCTCAAATGTTTTGGAACGCTATGCTTCGTAAAGGTTGGCGTTGGCGGGATGATGATATCAAACCAGAAGATATGAACAACATCATACACATACATAATATAAATAATGAATTAGCTTGGCGTGAGGTTTTAAAATGGGAAGCTCTACATGCTAAGTAAGTGTGAATTCTCTTGAAATAAAAACTAGGTTTATTTTCCTATTAGTAGTGATGGAATTCAGTATATAAAGCTTTTTATAATAACTAAATTATATTTCTTACATTTAGTTATTTAACATTATCTGTAATAGTACTGCACTTTCTTTGCTTTTCATAACGTCGATTTCTAACTGAAGAGAGATGTAACAATTTAGGTCGATGCGTATTTTTTCTAGGCCCTACTAACGTCTGGTAATTAATTTTGGATACGAGCTTCTGTTATTTTATGAACACGTTTTGAGCTATTCACGATGAACTCTTTATAATGTATAAAAGCACTTAGAATCCATGTGAATATGTTTGTACTATAAATGAATAACACAAATAACATACTTCACCCATTCGGTGCGAGTATTCCATATTCGAAGTTGTGAATTATGTCTATTGGATAATGGTTATTGATCCTACCGGATTGTCTAGATTTTGGTAAATAAATCGTTGTTTAAATTCATAACAGCCCATGTGATAAAGTTTTTAAGTTGGTGTAGACTGTCGTTTTTGTTCAACCACTTCTTGACAGCTAAACGTGGTCGTTGAAAATAATCTAGATGTATTTTTCAGATTCTCTTATTTGTTGACGAAAGATTATTTATTTCTGTCGTTTACAAATGTATTTTTGAGTTGTTTTTTTCCTAATCTACATTGTCAATAATAAGAGTGTAATGAACTCAGGCAACCCAACTTGGTTTAACTTTATGGAAGACTTGGCGAATTTATCATGTAGTTATGAAAATTATGGTTAAGATGACTCCTAATTACACACTAAATTTTCCTAATTACTTACTGAATTTTATAATAACCAATCATATCGGTCTTCACAATTCGGGAGTTACTAGTTATAATAGGAATCAAATAATTCATTAAGTTTGCTAATGATTGTGAATTTAAGGATTTAGAAAGCACTTCAATAAAATCCTGTAATTAATACTGACTAGAAGTGTTTTAAATCTGTCACTCAGCCAAGAACAGCGTAGAACCTCTCATGTGTACATCTGCTGCCACACCACATCAATACAAGGAGCGGAAGTTATAAAAACGGATGCTAGAATAGTGAAAGTGATAACAATGTCAATGGTATTGGAAAAGATTAGGCGTAAACAATATAACTTGAGAATACTGAATAAATCCGCTGAATCAGAGGGTATAAAATAACTTTAAGACTCAGGATCTAAGGGAAAATAAAGTAAACATATCTGTCTTCTTTAATATGTGAACACATAAACATTGGTACAAAGGGGCACCTGTTATGTTTTCTCTCTTACGGTTATAACCCAGCTATTCCTATTGCTTAGTATTCACGGACACAGATTCACTCGACAAGGTCCCAAATCAGAACACGATTGAGCAGGAAGGAGATTATATTCCAAATAACAAGGTTAGGTGGAAGCAAGAAGCAAAATAGGAAAACCGTTAGTATATTTATAGCTTTTTTACATAAGAAGAGTCTAGGAGCTTCTCCATGTATAGACTAGCGCTGATTGGATAAGAATCAGCCAATCAGCGTGCGCCAAAGCAATCGTGCATTGAGCATGCTTAAATCCAATCTATGTCCCACTAACACCTCCCCTTTGAGCAGATTCGTAGGATCTGGTGCTAGGGTCCAACTGCAACCGAGTGACTGGCCTGTGCTTTCGATTTGTCCATCGTCTAGGCAATAATGAAGTATCACTATTTGCTTGCACAGAAACTGACCTGTCTGTTCCAGGCGTTTTGATTTCAAAGGTGTCTAGCAGAACATCAAGAGGTAATCGATATTGAATCTCGTTGCTGGCTATCGAAGTTGCTTTCAATTGGTTAGCATGACGTACCCAAACTTCTGAGCCAACTGACACCTCATAAACCACACTCCCCTTCTTTTTCAAGATCCGACCAGCTGTCCATGTAGGATGTTTCTCACGATAGTCCATAGCAAGCACTTTTTGTCCCACCGTGAACAATCGTTTTTGTGCCCCATGATGTCGATTGAACTGATTCTCCATAGATAGGTTTCGTTGAGGCTCAAGAGCTGGCGTAGGACGGATGACATCGAAATGTGTTCGTATTTTTCTGCGAAGTAGAGCTTCTGCTGGAGAGACCCCCTTAATCGTCTGAGGGTTCGGTGTAGAGCGATAAATAAGCAGGAACCTCTCTAAGATCTCTTCGGTGGTCCCCTCCCCTTTAGATTTTTTAGAGCATTTTTAAATGTACTCACAAAGCGTTCCACTTGACCATTTGATTGGGGATGGAATGGAGGTGTTCGGACGTGATGGATTCCGTTCTGCCGACAAAATTGTGAGAAAATTACGGACGTAAACTGTGTTCCGTTGTCACTAACTATCAATTCCGGGACTCCGAAACGACTGAATAGTTGACGTAGCTTACTGACTGTGCAGCTTGCAGTCGGGTGTTCCATGAGAAAGATTTCTGGCCACTTGCTATATGCATCAACTACCAAAAGGTAAGTTTGTCCATGAAGTGGATCAGCAAAGTTCAAGTGTATACGCTGCCACGGTGACTGTGGTATTGGCCATGATTGCAGCTCTGCTTTTCGCGGTGCTTTCGTTGCTAATGCACATTTGGTACATGAACGGGATAGCTGCTCCAGTTGGGTGTCTAAATGCGGCCAGTATACATAACTTCGTGCTAATGCTTTCATGCGATTTATTCCAGGATGTCCTGCGTGCAACTGTTCAAGCACTGCTGGTTGTAGCTTCTTTGGGATTATGACACGTTCTGCAAACAGCAGGCAGTCGTCGATGATTGAGAGAGAGAGTCTACGCTGGTAAAACTGTTGAAGCTCTGTGGAACTGATCTTCGCGGGCCATCCTTCCAGGTGGAACTTTCCATCTTCTTGTAGAATTGGGTCTCGAAGAGTTTCTTCTCTGACTTCATCTGACGACACTGGAGTGTTTCGAATGGCATCTGCCACTATACTTCGTATTTCTGGGTCTACTGCTATAAAGGCAATGATTATATCCTCTGGTCCAGGATGCTGAACCCCAATTAATCGAGAGAAAGCGTCAGCTTGACCAATAGTATTTGTCGACTGATACTTGATATTGAAATCATAACTCAGGAGCATTGTTTCCCAGCGCTGTAGTCTATTAGCCGTATAGACAGAGATTCCTTTCTTAGAACCAAAGATTGCAATCAAAGGTTTGTGATCTGTCAGTAGAGTAAATGTACGACCATCGAGCATTTTATGAAATCTTTTGACAGCGAAAATGATCGCAAGAGCTTCCTTTTCAATTTGACTGTAGTTCCGCTCGGCTGGGGTAAGTGATCTAGCAGCATGGGCAATTGTCTTTTCTGATTTATCCGGAAACACGTGAGATATCACTGCTCCAACTCCATGACTAGATGCATCAGATGCAACAACAATTTCCAAGTTGGGATCGAAGTGTGTCAAAAGAATCTTTGAGCTGAGCATTGATTTGACTCTGTCGAAAGATGCTTGACATTCTGCTGACCACTGCCAAGGTTTATCTTTTGATAGTAATTCATTCAGCGGACCTCTCACTCGATGCATTTCAGGCAAGAATGTGCTATAATGACTGGTTAACCCCAAGAAGGATCTTAATGAAGAGACATCAGTTGGTGCAGGCATCTTCTGAATGGCTTCGATGTTGGCAGGGTCTGGTCGGCGACCGTTCTTATCTAAGATAAAACCAAGGTATTTGATGGAATGCATAAAGAAAGTACACTTTTCCTCACGTAGTTGGAAACCATATTCCAACACTCGGTTAAGGACTTGATGTAGTCGATCAGAAAGTTCATTGTCAGTTGAACCCATAACTATGATATCATCTAGATAAGCTGCTGTACCAGGTATACCTGTTAGCGTCGTATCCATTATTTGCTGAAAGATGGCAGGTGCAGTCTTGATGCCAAATGGTAGACGGGTGTATTGAAATAACCCTCGATGAGTGTTAATGGTCAAAAGCTCTCTACTGTCTTCATCTACTTCTACTTGCAGATAGGCATCGGAAAAGTCTATTTTCGCGAAACATGTCCCACCATTAAGTTTGGCAAACAGGTCTTCAGGAACTGGTAACGGATATTGATGCACATCTAGTGCAGCATTTAAACCAGTCGAGAAATCGGCACATATGCGTAAAGTTCCATTCGCCTTCTTAATCACTACGATCGGTGCGGCCCATGCAGAGTAGTTGACTGGTTGGATTACACCAGCCTGTTGCAAGCGATTAAGTTCCTGATCGACTAACTCAAGAGCAGCATATAGTACAGGACGTTTCGGACGAAAAATAGGTTTGGCATCTGGTTTCAATGGTAAATGAGCTTTCATCTTGGTACAGTGGCCAAGGCTATTCTGAAAAACAGAGGCGAACTTTCTTTTCAGTTTTTCTAGTAACCTTTCACCTGTCTTCTTTGCAAGTACTGGGGTGTCTAATGATGAACACAATACGTTGCAGACACTGTTAATCGGTACATCCATTATTCCAAGTTTATCTAACATATCTAGACCAAGAAGATCAAGGTTTGGCCGTTCTGTTAGGTAACATATTCCTGTACAGTTAGTTCCATTGAAGGAAAATTCACACTGTAATTCACCAACCAGTTTTAGCACACCACCTGATGCGTTTTTGGCCGTTTTCTTAGATGGCTTCATTGGCGGTTTACCCAGCAAGTTATACGTTTCTCTAGATACTACGGTGATATCTGATGCCGTGTCAATTTGAAGACGAGCTGATATGCCGTTTATCTGGATGGTAACACACTTTCTCCGAATGTCATAGTTTGTTTGAAAGGCAGCTACTAGAGAAAGAGAGTTAGGCTCGGCTGATTTCACATGTCGAGAACGTTTATGCTTCTTTTTGGGATGAGACGTATGGTTCGGTGGACAATGACCTTCTTTATGTCCACGTTTGTTGCACACCTGACATATATGCTTTTTAAATGGACAGAATCGTACATAATGCCAATCACCACATAACCAGCATGCATTCGTTGGTTTATTA